GGCTTCTCTCCAGTATGAATTCTCTGATGTCCAGTTAACTGTGAACTCTGGCAGAAGGCCTTCCCACAATCATTACATTCATAAGGTTTCTTTCCAGTATTGAGTTTCTGATATGGAGATAACTGTAACCTCTGGTCAAACGCCTTCACATAATCTTTATGTTCATATGGCTTCTCTAGAGTGTGAATTTTCTGACTGCCATTAAGGTATTTGTTATAGGGGAATTTTGCTTCACATACATGACATTTATAAGGTTTCTCTCCAGCATGTAATCTCTGATGTTGGGTAAATTGTGAGCACCAGCAGAAGACCTTTCCATATTCATAAGGACTCTCTCCAATATATAAGCTCTGATGTTGAGTAAAGCTAGAACCAAAAAGGATTCCCACAATCAATACATTCATAAGGCTTCTCTCTACTATGAATTATCTTTTGTTCAAAAAGATGTGTATTCCAGTTGGCCTTTTTGTATTCATTACTTTTATGAAGACTTTCTCCAAAAGGAACTCCATATAAGAAGTAATGGATGAATTGTAGTTATATGTGTAATATTCACAAAATATCTACTATACAGATATTCTAAACCAGAAGTATCAAACAGGTGTCCCTGGCCACACGCAGCCCATAGTACTCCCATGTGGCTGAAACCAGATTAAAATGTGATAACCTGAAAACATTTAATAAAATAAATAAAAATACAATAAAACATAGATAAGAATACATTTTAAAACTAATTCAATATGGAGCTCTCAGGGATCCTTATGTATAGATTAGTGGTCACTGCTCTAAACTACTAAAATGACTTGAAATATAAACTAAACAAATTTTTATATTTAGTATATTCAAATTTCAGTTGCTTAAACCTGAATACTGTTAGAAATTCTATTAATGTATATCACATTTATGGAGATATTTTCATATATGGACAACTGCTAAGGTATTAAATTTAGCCTGAAAATAGCACCATGTTTGCTGAGTTTTCTGTTGAGTGACTGTTTTACTCACCTAGAAAGTTTCTCTTCCTGGTTCCTCTGTAGTCCCTTCAATTTCACATAATATTCCCAGGTTTTTTCCACTTTAGAGATATGGAAACTATTCCTTCTGAGTCCTTCCTGAGTTGCCTCAGTTCCAGGTCTAGTTTTCCCATCTGAAATAAACAAAAATGTAAATGTTTTCAATTAATTCTGAAAGTCAGTCAACAAGCATTTATTAAGCACTTACTATGCATCAGGTACTGTGTTAAGAGCTGGGGATAAAAAGAAAGGTAAAAGACAATCCTTGCTCTTGAGGAGATCACAGTCTAACGGGGGAGACAACAACCAAATAAATATGTACAAACCAGCTATGTACAGGATAAATAGGAAATAATTAACAGAGGGAAAGCATTAGAATTAAGAGGAAATAGGAAAAGATTCCTGTAACAGGTGGGATTTCAGCTGAGACTTGAAGGAAGCCAGGGAAGCCAGGATATGGAGACAATGAAGGAGAATATTCCAGGGATGGAGAAAAAATGCCTGGAGCTGAAATGGAGTATATTCATGGAACATCCAGGAGGTCAGTGTCACTGGACCAAAGAGTACATGGTGGGACAGGGTATATAAAGTTCAAGAAGATTGGAAAGGTGAAGGGAGAAGCTAGATTATGGAGGGCTTTGAACACCAAACAGAGGACTTTATGTTTGATCCTGGAGGTAGGAAAATACTGGAGTTTATTGACTATGGGGGTGACATGGGCAGAGTGGCATTTTAGAAAATCATTTTGACAGGTTGCCAAAGGATGGACAGGTGTGGGGAGATAAGTGGCAGGCAGACCCCCCAGCAGCTTACTACAATAGTACAAGCATAAAGTGATCTTGGCCTGCACCAGTGTGGTTGCAGTATCAGAGGAGACAAGGGGCTTATTCAAGAGATTTTATAAAGGTAGAATCTACAGATCTTGGTAAGAGATTGGATATAGGTGGAGGGAGAGTGGGGAGTCAAAGATGACACCTAGGTTGTAAGCCTGGAAGACTTGGAGGATGATGGAATCCTCAACCATAATATGGAAGTTTAAAAGGGAGGAGAGTTTAATGGGAAGGATAATTAATTTAGTTTTAGTCATGTTGAGTCTAAGATGCCTACAGGACTTCCAGTTTGAGATATCTAACAGGTAGTTGGAAATGAAAAACTAGAGATCAGCAGAGAGGTTAGGGTTGGATTTGAAAGTCATTAGCACAGATGTGCTGATAATAATTCATGGAAGGTGATGAGAATACCAAGTTAAATTGTATAGAGGAAGGGCCCAGGACAGAGCCCGGTGGGACAACCATGGTTACTGGGCATGACCTGGATGAGGAGATTGAGAAGGAAAGGTTTGATAGGTAGGAGGAGAACCAGGAGAGAGTGGTATCTCAGAAACCTAGAGAGAAGAGAATATCAAGGAGAACAGAGTGATTGACATTGTCGAAGACAACAGAGGGGTCAAGAAGAATGAGGACTGAGAAAAGTTCATTGATTAGGCATTTAGGAGATCACTAGTAACTGTTGAGAGAGTAGTTTCAGTTGAATGCTGAGATCAGAAGCTGGATTTATGGAATTAAGAAGAGAGTAAGAGGAGAAGGGGAGGTATCTATTGTAGATGGCCTTCTCAAGGAGTTTAGCTGCAAAGGGCAGAAGATCTATAGGATGACAGATAGTGGGGATATAAGGATCAAGTGAGGGGTTTTTGAGCTCTTGGGGAATGGCTTCAATTTTTTCAGTAAAATATGAAGCAAGGATCTCATTTGAGAGGGTGGGGGTAGGAGAAGCCACAGGAAGTTTGAGGAGGGATCAAAAAGTTTGGAAAAGATGGTATGGAGAACTAGATAGTAAATTGATAAGGGAGTTGTAGAATTTGAAAGGATAAGTCTTATCTCAACTTCCCTATCAAAAAAAAAAACTGTCTACATTTTTTGATGTACTACTATATATTCTTTGCTTAAATTTGACAGAATATTTACATTTTTTGTATTAATATTCATCAGGGCTATTTTTCTTTAGTCATCTTTCTCTATTTTATTTCTTCCTAGAATTGGCATTAAGGAGTTACTTGATAAAACCAGACAACATAATTTCTTTAGAGGGACAAAAATTCAAAAATCTGAAGGGAAATTTTTTTTTAAGTAGGAAGGAAGGGTCAGGGAGGGGAGAGGAGGGAATAGCACTTCCACTTGTAATGAAACAAACATCAGCAAAATCACTTGTTTGTTAAAAATTACAAAAGCAATTCAGTGGGCAGGATTAGGTGTTTCAGGAATAATCACAATCAGTGTTAGATAAGCATAAAAATAAAAATTAGTTGAAGAAAAACTCACAATTTGGTAAAATCTTCTGGAAAGACCTGAGAGAAATTGGACTGGAATTAGGTTTAGATCATCTTACACAAGCCACAATAAATTAAAAATGGATATAGAGCCATAATATTACAGATCATACTTCAAAACATTAAAAGAACAAAACCCAGGCTTATATCACAGCAATTTCTGGGAGTGGAACTTTAAGCAAATAATAAAGGGAATCACAAACTATAAAATAGATTTTTTCAGTTACATGAAATTGAAAAGCATTAGCACTACCAATCTAAGCAACTAGGATAAGAAAGGATGCTGTCATTTAGGAAAAAACACTTGATAATGATTATTTTTCATTTCTTCAAATATAGATCTTGAATGACTGGTTCACAAATATTGTATGCATTTTGTAGTTACTTTGAATGGGGTATCCCTTTCTATTCATAATTCCTGGATTTTATTACCGCTTTGTAAAAGTGCTTTGATTTTTGTGCGTTTCATAACCTGGTTTCCTGAAAACACTAACAAAATCTTATTGAAACAGTCAACAGTTTCAGGAAACCAGGTTATAAAACACACAAAAGTAACTACAAAATGCATACAATATCTGTGAGAAAGTCATTCAAGATCTATATTTGAAAAAATGAAAAATAATTTAAACAATTAAAAGATATTCACTGCTCATATTTTGTTTGTGATAATATTAAATGGTAGTACTTAAATTAATTCACAGATTTAGTACTCGTAATAATCAAACTACCTGGTTTCCTGAAACTGTTGATTGTTTCAGTAAGATTTTGTTAGTGTTTTCTTGATAAGTTTATTTGCTGATGTTTTCTCAGGTTTTTTTTGTTGTCACTTCGTCAGTAAATAGGGGTAGCTGTCTCTGCCTATTTTTATACTTTTATTTCATGTTCAATACAGGAATTTTTTTTGACTATGCAAATTTATTTCAAGTCTGGTTTTCTTTTTTGTTTCAACAAAGGGAGGGGAAACAAAGAGAAAATTTCTTAATTTAAAAAAGAATTTTTTTAAAGGAATGATGAAGAAAAATGAGTCAAAATAATAGCTGCTAGAGATTAAATAACCCCAAGGAATAAATGGAAGAGGAAGATCCATTTTTGATTGAAGAAAACTCTTCCCCTAAAATGGAGGAATTCAAGAGAGGACAAATGTAAGTAAACTATTTTATCAAGAACTCATATGACATAGTTCCAGCTCTTCTCTCAAGACATGAGAGCCCTTAAGGATACTTAATACTAATATTTCACTGGTTCTTCCACAGAAAGACCAGTTAAGATGTGGCTTACAACTTCCATATGTCTGGTCTTCATTGACTTACCTAGACAGAGGGCCCTTGCTACTTCTTTGTCCTGGATCTGAGGTGCTTCCCCTTCTTCCAAGTGGGAGATCACATCTGGTTTCTGAACTGCAAGTCCTGTTCATTGGAAATGGAAAAGTATTGAGGTCAGAGGTCCCTATCACATCCTCATTCAGCCTCTGGGATAAAGAAGCTTACGAGTTATGCTCAAAGGATGTTACAGGGCCTCTGAAGAATCAATTTCTCTATGTTCCTGATAAATACTGGGGCTACCTATAGAGGATTTGCCACTAAAAATTACATTTGACCCACCCCTCTAATAAGATGAAATTTTCTTGTTCTTAGAATCTGCTTTGGATCTTTAGGGGAGAATCTTTGACTTAAAGGGACAGAGAATGGGGGAGGTTACAACTTCAGAGGCAATATAAACAAGCAGCTAGTTTCCGGCTATACACAGGAAAGACTATTCATCTAAGACTAAGGAGCAGAGTATACCTTCGTTGGCCACAAGAACAAACTAATCTCCGCATGCCAAACAATAACTCTCAAATGTTTACCACTTAGAAAATGATATTTTAATAAGTGAAGTAAAGTACCACAATAAAGAGAATCTGAGGTACTGGGGATAGTTGTCCTTACCCAGAAAGACAAGGTTTCTATAGTTCTCCAGCATCACATTCCGGTACAACTCCTTCTGAGAAGGGTCCAGGTCTCCCCACTCTTCCTGGGTAAAGTCCACAGCCACATCCTTGAATGTCACCAATTCCTTTTGGACCTAAATTTGGCAGAAACTTTAGGGGGGAAGTTGCTGGTGTTTAAGGTTTAATGCAATTACATACTGAGTATCAACTATGTACCTTTCACCATTTATGAACAGCAATAGTTGTTATATATGTGTGTGTGTGTGCGTATGTTTTTACATACATACCTACATAAAACACATCTATGTTGGATGTATTTAGTTTATGAAGTACTTTATTCTAGAAATTTCTTGTGAAACAGGGCAAGAATTATCATTTTCAAGGGGCAGTTAGGTGGCACAGTGGATAGAGAACCGGCCCTGAAGTCAGGAGGACCTGAGTTCAAATCCGGCCTCAGACCAAACACTTGACACTTACTTACTAGCTGTGTGACCCTGGGCAAGTCATTTAACCCCAATTGACCAAAACAAAACAAAACAAAAAAATTATCATTTTCATTTTACAGATGAAGAAATGATTCTAAGAATGGCTGTCATACCCCCAATCAACCTCATCATCATCTTCTTAATGGAGAAGCAACATTTCCTTCAAATGCCCATTTGATAGCAACTGGTTTTTTTTATTAGACACCTAATATTTTAACAAATTTCAAGTATTATAGATCCCCAATCAGAAGCAAAAGGCAATCTTCCTTCAATAGTCAAATACCATTTCTGTTGATTAACATTCTCCACTGCCATTTCTTACCTTAAACATTTCAGACTAGTTCAAACGTCTACCATTAAAACCCCCTAAAATGGCACTTTCTTCTTTAACATTAATAGGTAACATTGTACAGAATTTCAGTTTGCAAACTACTTTATGGATATTATCTCATTTGAATCGTGAAAAAGGCCTGTGAGGTACGCACTTTCAATTTATATTTCCCATAGTTTATACTTGAAAAAAGTTAGGCCTCAGGAGATTAATAAACTTCAAAATGGATTCTTGCTTTGTGTCAGTTAATCTGTTAAAAGGCAGGATTGCAACACTATCCAGGAACCACATGCATCACTCTGTCATACTGCCTCCTAAACAATTTAACTTTTAAGACACATTATAGCTTAACACAATAAAATTCCATGAATAGCTATTCTCACAGTTAACTTTTAAAATTAGATGTGAGCATTATTGTATTATTGCCTTACAGTTATTTTTCTCTCTCCAGCTGCCTTCTGAGCTCAACTTAACACAGAAATGAGTGCCAACCAAGTCTTATCTTTTCCTCTGCCTCTCCCACAACAGAAGCTTTTGAATTGAGGCCAATAAGGTTAATCACTAGATTAGCCAAAAGAAAAAAAAAAGGTGGCTATGAAGGAAAAAATTCAGATACAAATTCTATATTATCTTCCTTCTATGAATACATATTTGATGTACTTGTTTAAACTGCCTCATATTGTAACTTATTCTAACTTTTTTAATCTTGCCTCGATATATGATAAAATGAAGGTCACTTCTCCTCTATCAGTTTCTTCATCTGTCAAATGGGGAAATAATGCTTTCAATAACTGCACATTTCTGGGGGAAAATGCTGTGTAACTCATGAGATTGATGTAAATCTATATTATTTTCATGTGATTTATTTTTTGTCTATTGCAGCACCCAGCTCAGGACTTAGCAATCACACAGTATGAATGATTAACTTTGGATGGAAAAAGAGGGAGAATGGCAAAGTATAAAGCACATTTGCTATGGAGAATGTTAAGCAGAATGATATGGTATAAAACAGAAAGAGCCCCAAGAGTTAAGGGACCAGTAACAGAATCCTGGTTCTGCTACTTGCTACCAGTGTAACCACAGAAAAGTCAAGTGACATTGTGAATTAAGTACTGAACTGGAGTCAAGAAGACCTGGATGAAACTTCACCTCTTACCTAATGTGTCATCTGTAAATTTATTTCAAGGCCCAAAAGAGCTGTCTGAAAAGACTCTGTAAATCTTCAAGTGTTACATAAATAACTATTATTATTATTATTTCTCTCTGTAGGGCTTTTTCTTCATCTCTACAATGAGGGAATTGGACTCTAGCTTGAAATTCTACCCGATGATGATGAGGCTAGGATCATACAATAATAGATATAGAAAGAGAGACAAGGATCTTGGATACCATCTAGTGCAACCCCTCCAATTGCAAATGAGGAAAGTAAAGCCCAAGGAGATATATGTGTATATATATACATATGTATATATATATATATATATATACATATTTTTTTTTATTTTCAGTTTTCAACATTTGATTTTGAGTTCCAAATTTTCACTCCATCTCGCCCCTCCCCCACCCCAAAATGGCATGCATTCTGAATATCCCTTCCCCTAGTCTACCCTCCCTTCTATCTCTCCCCCCCTTCTCTTAACCCCTTCCCCTTCAATTTTCCTTTGGGCAGGATGGATTTCTGTACCCCATTTCCTGTATTTCTTATTTCCCAGTTGCATATGAAAACTTTTTTTTAAACATGTGTTTTTAAAACTTTGGGTTCCAAATTTTCTCCCTTCTTCCCTCCCCACCAACTCTCAATGATAAGGCAAGCAACTGAATATAGGTTATACATGTGCAGTTATGCAAAACACTTCCATAGTAGTCATGCTGTGAAAAACTAACTCTATTTTGCTTAATCCTATTCTGCCCCATCATTTATTCTATTCTTTCTTTTGACCCTGTCCCTTCTCAGAAGTGTTTGCTTCTGATTACCCCCTTTCCCAATCTGCCCTCCTCTCTATCATTCCCCTGCTCTCTTGTTCCCTTCTCCCCCTATTTTCCTGTAGGGTAAGACAGATTTCCAAACCCAATTGAGTGTGTATGTTATTCCATCCTTAAGCCAAATCCTATGAGAATAAGATTCATTCATTCTCTCTCACCTTCCCCTGTTTCCCCTCCACTGTAAGAGCCTTTTCTTTTCATTTTTTGTGAGATAATTTAACCCATTCTACCTCTCCCTTTCTCCTTCTCCCAGTTTAATCCTCTTTCACTCCTTGATTTTATTCTACAGATATGACCCCTTCATCTTCAACTCACCCTGTGCCCCATATCTATATCTATCTATCTATCTATCTATCTATCTATCTATCTATCTATCTATCTATCTATCTATCTATCTATCTATCAAGAAGACTTAATGCCTGGCTTAAACAAGATGGACCCCATTTCTTAGGTTCTAGGTCAAAGATTAAGAAACAAGTATTTCTTCAAGAACAAACTGAACTCACTTTGCAGCCTGGCGCTGTCAGGAATACAGGGGCCATTCCCACCCTGGAGAAGGGCAGAGAGCTCAGAAGGCAGAACTGGGAAAGAAAAACGGCCCAAGACAAGCATTAGACTACCTTGCCCCTTCCAGATCATGGACAGAACCAGCCCCTCTCACCCCACTCCTCCCGCAGAAGAAGCTCACGAACAACCCAGACCCCGGAGGTTCAAAGACCAGGCACACGAGGGGCACTTGCGGCTCCAGCCCCAAAGCCGCTGTGAGGACCGCGGGGAGCCTGACCAGGACGTGGCAGGCGAGTGCTCAGGGGGAGCAGAACCCGGGGCTGCGCCAGCTCTCCTTCCCCGCAGACGGGGAGCAGCGAGAGAGACTCAAGGGCCGGCGGGGGGCGGCGAGCCCAGGAAAGGGCCCGACCAGGCACCTGCCAAGAGAATCGCCGGCCCCGCACTCACAAAGACCCCCGAGGCAGGGCCTGGCAGCCGGCTCCGCTCAGCGCACACCCCCGATCCCTGGGGGCAGCTCGGCTCGCCAGGAGCGGCCGCGGGACTCGTTGGGTCGGAGGGAGGGCCGAAGGCCGGAGGAGCCCCAGCTCCCGGGTCCGGGACAGGGAACAAGGAGGAGACACAAAGCAAGTCCATGAGGCCAGGCTGCCTGAGTGACAGCAGAGAGGAACCGGAAGAGACGTCGGAGCGCACTTCCTCCCGCCCCTTCCGGCCATTCTCCCTCAACTGGCTCCACAGCCCAAGGATGCTGCACTTTGGTGCCTCTTAATGTTTCCGTAGCAACCGCTATCTTGATAGAATAGAGATCTTGAGGCTGGGATTTCCGGAAGTGGAGTCGGAGAGCTGAGGAGGTTTGTGCGCATGCCTAGGACAGAGGCATGCAGCTACTGGGAGATGGCGGGAATTATTTTTCTGCCAGTCGCTGGGGCGGGGCGGGGGTCTGTTTATTAAGCCTTCTTTTGCGATGAGCCCTGTGCCGAACACCAAGACCACACGGAAAACCCGGTCTCCACCGACAGAGCTTCCAGTGTGCGGATGGGTAGCGACTTTTACCCGAATCCATCGATCTGCCGCTTCCTTCCCGGCTCATTTGAAGCTCATCTTCCCACGTGGGGCCTTTTCTGCTCCCAACCTAACCACGTGTTTGCTTGGTATGTTCACTTGTGGGTACCTGTTGCCTTGACCCATAGATTGTAAGCGTCTTGCCGGGAGGAGCAACAGATGATCTTTTTTTATTTTTGTATTTCCATCACCTAGAGCAGGTTCTAACACATAGATGACTGATTGGGGGTGCATCCACTTACATGTGGGTCCTTTCCCTGCTTTTTTTAATCTACAAAGTGCCCAGGCTGTCTTGTAGTTATTTAATTAACCCACCAGGAGGGCTGAGATTGGGGTATAGTATAGAATTTGGCCACCAGGTGACACTAACCTCAGGCCACCAAACCAGTGTACTCCATCACAGAGTAGTAAGAGTTTTCTTTTCCCCTAGCATTAATTGTACTCGGTGCCCAGTGAATTGTGCTCTAATCTCTTCTGTACCAGCGGGTACCCCTTTGCTCATGCTTTAAAGAGGTGTGGCCTGAAATATGCTTGATAATTAACAAAATTGGACATCCCATTGATTTGTGCTCTCAGTCCTTGTTCCAACACTTGTAAGCTTCCCTGCTCATTCACTGCCTCACCTCCTCCATACACAGGATTTACCAATTTACTTTTTTTCTTAATGGCCCTCTGACAAGAAAATGGTAACTTAGCAGAAGAAAAACTACAAAAGCTTTCAAAGAGCAAGGTGCAGGGTTTCTTGGAGCCTAGATCAATTTTCCCTTTCTTCATACCTCTTCCTAGTCAGTAGAAAGAGGTCAAAATAAAGGATTTGTCACCTATGGAACCTGCCAAGATTTCCTTAGCAGACACTCTTGAGGATCAGGGGTACACTAGAACTGGTTCTTTTATTGTACCATAGCTGTAATTCAAAGCACAGCTAATCTTATTCAGTACCAATTCCAATCTGTACTGCTTCAAGGCACCCCTAGGTCAGAATGTTTTATACACGACCCAGTGGGGTCACTGTATCAAATGCTTTTGTTTAAATTGAAATGACTGTGATGTAAAGACAAAAGACCTCAGTACAACTTTTTCCCCCTTCCAAATAGATGGTCTGGTCATTTGAAAAAACAAACAGTCATACACAGCCTAACAGTTCCACTTATAACCATGGGATTCCAAAAGACTATGAGATTGGATAGAACCTCCCTCTAGCAAACTTATTGGAAGATACAGAAAAGGATTATACTAGATGGGCAGATATGGATAGGTTGAAATCTGTAATGCTGGGGGGAATATCCATGTTGATGAGTTCATAGATCCATCTGAATATTTAATTGGAGGATGGATTACAACAGAGGTTCCCAGGCTTATTTGGCCTACTGCCCCCTTAAAAAAAAATTACTCAGCACTTCCCTAGAAATCTATTTTCTTTAACCCTTTAACATTCTTTAAAAATTTGCATCATTTTAAAAAAATATAATTTTTTTCAATGACATCTTAAATTTAGTAATTTATTATAAATTTGTGGGGTTTTTTTCTGCATTGAAATTTCTTATAACTGTATAGTATCGTATTGTAAATAAGTCATTACACATACATATTCCTGCTGATGCATGCTGGACTTCCTGACAATGCAAGATATGCTCACCTGCCAACACTTGCTTGTTAAGACCTGTTGGCAGACTTGACCACTGATTAGTTATAATTTGCATTTTGTGTGTTTATTTGGAAAATAATGTAATCACTACAACATTAACTCTGTTACACAACAGATGAAACGTATGAATGGTTTTAAATTTTTTTCTTCTTTTCTTTCCTTATGATTCCACCACCCCCTTATTTTTATTCATCACCCGGCCCCATTATACTTGAGGCTACTACAGCCTCTCTGGATCTGTCCGGTTCTCCTCAGGGGGTGGTATCACCCACTTTGGGAACCTCTGGATTAGAGACCGGAGGATCCAAAGAAGGGAATCCAATTAGGAGCCAGGTCCAGTGGCCCAAAGAAGAGATGATGAGGGCCTGAACCAGAATAGTGAATGAAGAGAAGGGAATGGATAGGAAATATGTGGAGTTATGACTGAAAATGCATAGCAACTGAGAGAAAATGGAAATTAAAAGAAGAGGATTAATCAAGGATGACACTAAAATTATACAACTATGACTGGAAAAAGATGGTGGTACTCTGGAGAGAATGGTACACATTATTAAATGATGCAGAGAAGTCCAGAAGGACTGAGACAAGGATATCGAACTAAGCATTTAAGTGATCCTTGGAAACCTGGGAAAGAGCATTTTAATTCAATTGTGGGGTTTGGAAATCTGACTTCCAAGGGTTGAAAAGTCAAGGAAAAGGAGGAAGTGAAGACAGTAAGCAAGACAGTTGCTTTAAAAAAAAAAAGTGATGACCAGAGAGAGGAGAATATTTGATAGTAGTTTGACAAAATGCAAGGCTAAGGGTTTTTTGTTTGTTTTTAGGACAGGGCAATTAGTGAAAGAGAGTTCAAAGATAAAAGGTGGAGTTTGATGAAAGGGGCACAGATAGGAGCCTCTGCCTCTGGTGGGAAGAGGAGATAGACCTTCTGTCCATTATGCATATATCCCTGGGGGAAAGTAGCAAGGGGCAGGTGGACTTCCATCTGCCAGCACAAGGGAACTTTGACCTCTCACTGCCTGCCTGATTTCTCAGCGGTGGTATGGAGAACCTCTCCTGCAAACCAGAGCACGTTTTCTTTGTCTTCTGGCCTTCCATCTCCTGTTGCTCCTGACCCTAGAGGAAAAAGGAATAGGAAAGTAAGTGAGAAGCTAAGAGGGTCTTCTATCTCCTGCTGGGCCATTTCCTGCCTAATCTCCAGCCTTCCAGGCATTTTTTTCTGCTCACAATGTTTGAATTGAAAGAGTAGTTACTTTTCTAATGATAGAATTGTATCACCCTCTGGGTATCATTTTTAAAATTAACAGCATTTCTCATATAATCATTTAAAAAAAAATCACACACAAGAAAAAGTAGAAGCCTAACAATAACATAAAGAATATGATGTTTTAGAACATAACACAAACTTTTTGCCAGTCAAATGACACCAATTCAGTTGAATTTATTTCTGAATCCTCTTAAATAGAAAATCATCTCATCTATCTATCAATTTGGCATTCCAAACTAATCACATTTAAAACCAGTATAGATTAATTACACTTAATAATAAAAATAGCTAACATTTATATAGTGCTTACTGTGTGCCAGGCACTGTGCTAACCATTTTACAGTTTTCTTATTTGATACAGCAACCCTTCAAAGTAGGTGCTATTATTATCGCCATTTTACAAATAAGGAAACTGAAGTAAACAGTGAAGTGACCTTCTCAGGAGACAGATAGTGTCTGAGGCTAGATTTGAATGAGGTAGGAAATTTTCCTGTTTAAGGAAATCTCACAATGGAGAAACTGAGTCAAAAGGATCTTACCTTTTCCTATTCTGTGCAGTTTTCAAAGCATATGGTCTTAATATAACATCAAGTATATTTTACATTAAGTTCTAATATACCACAATTATCCTAATGAAAGAATGCATCTCACTTTAAAAGACCACATTATAATTTAGTTTCAGGACAACTCAAAACTGGATTTACAATCACAAATGGTAATATTCAAAATCTTAATTTTTCCAAGGGCCATTAGCTGCCAGTACTTCAAATTATAGAGCTCACTGCTATTAATTAGCTCATTTCCAAAGATTCATGGTAGCAGTCTTACATTCCCATCCCCATCTTTTGGAGCCCATAGGCTCTAAAAATTGGGACACACCTTTCTAATGGTCTTTCAAGGCCAGAATTTTAGTGTGTTATACTTTAAAAATTTCATGCTGCAAATTTATATAATGTCTATTTGGTAAATGTTTTAACTTGATAGAATACATTCTGTCTGAAATTACTAACAGGCATTTCTCCAAAAAGTTTCTTCTTATCTTGACATTCAAAACAAAAAACAAACAAACAAAAAAAACCAAACACCTTCTCCAATCTCTTTTCCAAAGCATCAAACTCTCACTTTACCCTCCATTCACACTATCAGTACAAAGGGATTTCACTTTTCTTTAAGATTCTCCTGATTTTCCTCTTATCTCTACTTGCTTAAACCTCTTTTGTGGCATTTTTTTTCCTTCCAATGGACTTTAAAGCCCTACAAATTTCAAAATTCCATCTTTCTTATTAAACTCAGATTTAACATTTTATTTTTACTACTTAAGTCCATTTCATCTTATTTCCCAATCATATTCTAGTCTAACATTCCACTGAATCCTGTAGAGATTTCCTCATATAATACCAATAAATTGCTAAATTTTTACTTCTCTAGTTGCAGTCTGTTTCAATTTAGGTGACTTTGTTTAATTTTCCTAAACTACTAAATTCTATTGAATAATTTCAGACTAGCCTAGCTTCAGTTCTGTTTATTCTTTAGTTAATGAAGTTACCTACAAAAACAATGCATCTGTTGCCTTCCAGGAAGGGAAGAGAGTAATAGAAGCATGTATTTTTTGCCTGTTTGCCAATAATCTTAATCCTAGCATCAAATCTCCAAAAAATCCACATTTTAGCAGTTACAAAAATCTTTAA